GTTTTGTCATGAGTTCCACCTCCTGAAATATCACAGCAGATATTTAGTCTTCCACCAGAAACCTGCTCTTAAACAATCTGTATGTAAATTGCTAGAAATAAATTCATTTCAGACCTTTTTTAATGTATTTAATTTTGCACTATATAAAATTTAAAGTTTTTGACAACTTTAGTATGCTAAATATAATTTTAGTAACACAGCTTCTCGTGAGTTTTTCTTTATTTTTATTCCAGAGAAGAACCTCCTCTTCACTACTTTTCAGTCTTTTCCTGGAGGAAAACCCCAAACTCTGATCTTCATGTGTGATGTTGTAACAGTTCAGTTTGTGGTGCTTCCTGTTGAACTTGTTACACTCGTGTGTGTTTTTCAGAACACCAGAGAGGATATTGAGTGTTGTGTAAAACTGTGCATTTAGGGTTATTTAGTTGTTGGCTGATAATGGTCCCATCAGAGCATCATTTTACTGCCGTCTGTTGCTTGTAATAAAAAAAACTGAGATGATTTAAATAGATTTTATTTTTTCCCTTTTTAGAGAGTTTTTATCTGACGATGAGGGAAGTGGAAGCTGTTGGGTATTGTTTTTCTCACGCTGTCCGGTGCAGTCGGTGCAGATGGATTTGTGGATGGTGTGTGTATACAGTGTTGTGGAACTGTGGTGAAATTACACAATAAGTCCTGCTGTCTCTGTTTTCTACAGTCAGTCATATGTTGTTGGATAAATGTGGCTCCAACTCAGTGATTTTAAATCCAAATTCATTTTCTACTCCATCTACTCCTCACTTACAAATTCCAATTCAACAATTGTCTCCCCACAGCCTGATTACTGTTTGTCAGCATTTACATAATAATATTTAACACAAACATTTTCTAGAAAAACAGATTTTTTACTTTTTCATATTCTTGACATGAACATTTGTTCATTGGGGGTAGAGATCTTTAGTCAATTCAGTTTGATTTGACTCAAAGGGCAGCAATGAGATTATAAATTTCTTATCAGTACATCTGGATTATCTGCAATTATCAGGTTTGTGAACAAACACCAGGAATCTGTGCTTGTATTTATCCAAACTGATGTGAAACTGAAATACAAAACTACAAATCAAAGTAACTGGCTAATAAACACTAAACAAATAAACACTGTCAATAAACACTGTTTTAATAATCGATTAATCCATTGATTTTATTTTTTTTGACTGATGAATTGGGGGCGGGGGGATTTTTTTTTCATTTCAATCTCTATTCCAAATAGAACATTTGGACATACATAGTAAATCACACAAAAGACAAAATGCCATTTGAGTATTCTGATACTTTAATATTAAATAATTATACTTAAATAAATACATGAAAAAAACCCACAAAAAATGTATACAAATGTGTGCTATATGTTTGAAAGTCTCTTCATATTATCTATCCATTAGCTTTGTAAAATGTGTTTTTGAGGGAAGAGTTAAACCTGGAATAAAAGTGCAGAATAAAAGTAACTTAACATTTAAAACACCACAGAAAAGTTAACATGATTAACTTTGTGTTTATCATTGAAACATACACAAATGAAATGCTCTGATTCATTAATGAAGACAGTCATGTTGTAACTTCAGCTGTTACAGATGTGTATTCTTTAGGGTTCAGATACAAAGAATGTAAAAAAAAAGGCACAGTTTTACTGGATCACCTAGGTACTTCATAGTACCCATGTATACCATAGTACTAGGACAAACAAGATAAGGGTCAGCACAAATTAACATTAGAAAATTTGAATTTGGACAATTGAAAACTTTAATTCTGAATTGTCTCTGCAATGCAGTTATTCTAAAAATGTATTGTAACCACGTTCCCTGTTACTTGTCCAGGGGTCTGCAACCTGTGGCCCCAGGTCCACATGCAGATCTTGGGTCCCTCTGCATTATCTCTGCAGTTTTATCAAACATCATATAAAAATAAACAATGTTTATATTTATAACCCAAGTTGTTGTTTTTTTTTTTTTGCTAGGGTTATAATTTTTTGTAGATGTATGTATCAAAATTCCTGTATGAAAAAATGAGTAAAATATATTTATCAACTAAAGCAGTTTATTATCCACCTAATTACTTTAACTTCCAAACAAAGCATCATCTTCCTCTTGTATCTACCAGAAAGTTGTGTAAACGTGTCAAGAACAGCAAATGAAAGTGCATGTAAATACATATTAGTATTAGAAGAAATTAGTAAATTATTATAAAAAGCCCCACAAATTGGCTGTTTTTGTTCACATAAATATCTTAGGATGCAAGGTTACTCTTTGTTTCAAAGAGGAATAAATTTTCCACAAATATGCTCACAAAGCCTTGCACACAATCAGTGTTAAAATGTTAACAGTGGAATTACAAACAACTTACATTTACCGGTAGTCTATTACAAAACGTGTTTTTTATTTTTTATTTCTTTAAAGTGTAAAATTGTTAATTTATGTTAAAAAATCTGGTCTAAAACATGCACATTTATGTCCTT